AGTTTTCCTCTTGTCACATTTTGCACTAGTGCATTTTAATGCTTTTGTGGCTGTTGCATACACTACAGCCAATCAGAATGTTTCATCTACAAACAACTGCTTGCACATGCACAATTTTCTCATACTTTCAAGAGGTCTGCTGAAACATCTCATGTCTCTTGTAGGTCCATGGGGTGTTTCTTATGTTGGTGAAGAACAGTCTACAATTCGGGCAAAGGATAATTGTATCACAATGAAACCACAATATAGACTGTATCAAGGTCCATGTATCATGTTTGTAAAGTATCATGACATAGGCCAGGAGGTCCTGGAGGGTTTATGTGGGTTTGTTTGTTGCAGGGCTTCCACAAACACAAGTCGTTTGTTCATATTCATTTACATATGGAAATCTGCAACAAGAATTTATATCAACATTTAGATTGTGAATAAAAGCCGTACCCTGAGGACTGGCAGGAACACAGCGATGCAATGCAGACTCAATCTCTCAATAATACTTCCTGTTATGGTCTGTAACTTTTATTTAAACAAGATTAACAATCCAATCCACTTTATTTACATAACACATTTTTCAAAGTGCCAAAGCACGGAATAAAATTAAGATAATCAAATGAAATAAGAAATAAGTAAGGGATAACGTATATTACGCAGGTCATTATCGGAAAGTACCAACAGGGCGAAGCGGACCCCGACGCGCGGAGGGGTCTGCTTCCGCCCTGAAGGTACTTATTTTCCGATAATGACCTGCGTAATATACGTTATCCCGCTTATTATATGGCTTTATACCAACAGAACACACAACATAAACTTCAGTCCACTCTTAGGAATGCCGAAAGGTTTATTTAATGACAGAAAATGAAATAGTTCCCAAAGGCTTTCCCGTGGCTATGCGAGTAACAGTTAGGCTATCAACTTCCAAACTAGAACTCTCTGGAACTGCATGAAAACTGAACAAAGAATTCTGAATATCAGCGGTGAGTGACCAAAACATAAACCTAACCTAAATCCATAATTCGATCCTCTGCAAATGTGTCCGAAAATGTGCCGGTATCTTAAAATGTGCCGGTATCTACTTCCGGGTTTTTCTGGATCGCCTTTTCTCGCATTACATCAGTGTTTTGGTCATGAAAACGTAAACGGAAAATTCTGAAAACTTCCGTGCACTTGTATTAAGACTGGATATGTATAAATTACTCTCCGGTTAACATTTAATTGCGTTGATTGATTGGCATTTGCGTTTATTGAGCGGCCGGAACTACTTCCGGGTTTTTCACGATCGCTTTTTGGCGCAGAGAAATAGTATTTTTGTCATGAAGACAAGACCAGAAAATTCAGAAAATTTCCGTGCACGTGTGTGAAGAATGTATATGTATAAGTATTCTCCGATTAACATTTAAGTGTGTTGATTGAGCGTGGCTAGCTCCGGAGTGGCCGGAACTACTTCCGGAGCAATCTACACACATGAATTACAAGCAGAGAGTGCGTTGCCATGGGCAGTGGTCATTATTGTTTTGAGAGGTCCGTTATAAAAAATAATGACCGGTAGAACGTTTTGAAAGTACATTAAAATCAATGGAGCGTTCTACTGCTGCTGTGAGGAGCCGTATAATAAGTAAGGGATAATGTATAAAACACAGGTCATTATTGGAAAATGATCACGGACAGGGCAAATGGGACTTGTTATACAACTATCTGCCAACTGAACACACAAAATAAACTTCAGTCCATTTTTATGAATGGCAAATGGTTTATTTAATGACTGCAAATAAAATTCCCAAAGGTTTTGCGGTTGCTTACCAACGTGTCGTGGCTAGGCAGCGTGGCTAGGCGAGTAACAGCTAGGCTAGCTACTTACAGTGCCTTGCGAAAGTATTCGGCCCCCTTGAACCTTTCAACATTTCGCCACATTTCAGGCTTCAAACATAAAGATATAAAAAATTATTTTTTTGTCATGAATCAACAACAAGTGGGACACAATCGTGAAGTGGAATGAAATTTGTTGGATAATTTCAACTTTTTTAACAAATAAAAAACTGAAAAGTGGGGCGTGCAATATTATTCGGCCCCTTTACTTTCAGTGCAACAAACTCACTCCAGAAGTTCAGTGAGGATCTTTGAATGATCCAATGTTGTCCTAAATGACTGATGATGATAAATAGAATGCACCTGTGTGTAATCAAGTCTCCGTATAAATGCACCTGCTCTTTGATAGTCTCAGGGTTCTGTTTAAAGTGCAGAGAGAACCATGAAGACAAAGGAACACACCAGGCAGGTCCGAGATACTGTTGTGGAGAAGTTTAAAGCCTGATTTGGATACAAAAAGATTTCCCAAGCGTTAAACATCTCAAGGAGCACTGTGCAAGCAATTATATTGAAATGGAAGGAGTATCAGACCACTGCAAATCTACCAAGACCCGGCCGTCCCTCCAAACTTTCATCTCAAACAAGGAGAAGACTGATCAGAGATGCAGCCAAGAGGCCCATGATCACTCTGGATGAACTGCAGATAACTACAGCTGAGGTGGGGATGGTGTGTTCAGGGTGATGAGCTGTGTTGCTTTTACGCCAAACATATCGTTTTGCATTGTGGCCAAAAAGTTGGATTTTGGTTTCATCTGACCAGAGCACCTTCTTCCACATGTTTGGTGTGTCTCCCAGGTGGCTTGCACTGCATGAAAAGTTAGATTTTCGTCACCCTAAACTGCAGGAAATCACGCTCTTTTTCGGGTATCTCAGGCAGTTTTCAGAAGGCGCAGTTAGGGTGCCCTGTCCTCCAAACTGCCGTATCCGTACCATGCTAATGTCCCTACTTTGCATATGAATGCAGCGAAACACTGCGACCGGCGGAGCGCTAATGGCCCTAATTAGCATATGAATGCAGCGGCTTGCCAGGCTGCTATTCAGCATTGGTGAATACCACTACTTTCAAACTCGTGATTGGCTGAAAAATCACACGTGGCCAGCCCACGTGGGATTACTCCCCATTGGTAGCTTACTCCCCATTGGATGAAATCACTACTTTCAAATAAGTATAAATCTCTCGTGATTGGCTAGCAGATCTGTCACTATTGGTCACCCTGCCTCATAATTAATGTAATAATATTTATATAAATATTCGTATTATTTATAGAAGAAATGAAAATTTTCCAGGAATATGTTCATACAAAGAAAGCTTTATTAAAACACACACACACACACACACACAGCTTTATGCTCACACATAGGTAATTAAAAAATTACAACTCTGAACTGTCCAATAGCCTCCTCGGGGTTGTAATTTGGCAGGGTTCTAGATAGACGCTTAATGTGCGTGGCTCTGTACTTCCGCACCGCCTCTAACCGGGACTGCAGCTTGACAGAGTTCAGAAAACTCCGGCTTTCGAAAAGACGGTGACCGCACAATCCATCCAGAGACACCGTCCACAACGCCTTCTTCTTCATTGGACATTAGGTCTACCGTGGCGGACTTCCAGAGTTCCACTTTGTCACTTTCTAGCACACTCGGTCTCGATTCCAGCGGCTGAAAGAATCAGTAAATATTATTAGCCAAATCAAATCCTTTTTCCCCATCTAAACATAGTGTCTAAAGCAGACCTGGAGATTCTTATCCATGCATTTGTCTCCAGTAGGTTAGACTACTGTGCCACAACAGCTGCAGTACATTCAAAATGCAGCAGCTCAAGTCCTGACCAGAACCAGGAAGTACGATGGTAAGGCAAGTTTATTTGTCTAGCACAATTCATACACAATGCAACTCGAAGTGCTGAGCAAAATAAGAAAGCATTAAAATAAATAATCACAGTACATTAACAAAGATAAATATAAAATACCTCAGTTGTAGCACAGCTAAAGCTCCTCTCTGACAATGTTTAAAACCAGGTTAAAGGGAGAAACAGTAAAACACTTACACACAATGTCGTCTTTATCAACATGGTGGAAATGTGGACTTATTGTTCACATTGTATTGCAGATATTGTGTTAAGCAAATAGGAGGTCACCGTCTCATTACGAGGCGAGATTAGTCTGAAAACAAAGTGTACAGTTATGATTGTTATCTATACATATCCATTACCGACACAAAACATGTAGGTATACCAAATTCAATTTCCATGGATACATTAACAATACTTACATAACCTTTTTGAGAAAATGGATCCTTCAATGAAAAAAGTGTGATAATTCTAAGAGCATAGCTTTCTTTTTGTTTTCGGGAAGGCATTTGTCTAAGGAGAAAAAAACACTCATGGTCAAAGGACTTCATGGTTACATAAAAAGGCTAAATTAATAGTATCTACAAGTACATATTTTCACGGGGACCTAACTAAGAGATAATCTACAGGAGAACATCTACCTAGGTCATTTATAAAAGAGATCAGTACTATTTATCTTACAATGGGGAATCAATAACAGTGCTGAGAGAAACTGAATTGTTATGTGATTATTGTGAAAGGTCTTTCAAGTGATTTTCATTTTATTTTGAGTAAATATCCTTCCACTTGTAAGAAGGAACTTTTGAGTAATAACGGAGGGATACAACATACCCATGTGTTTCACTCATGTCACTGACGAGAAGGTCGACAAGTTGTCTTCGAGAGCGGTGACTTAGTGATCTCACAGAATTATAATCTTTAAGGATCTCTCGGTCACCAGGGTTTTCCTGCAGTTCCACCATCTACAAACGTGAAAAATGTAAAATGAAAATCTACAATTGTACCAAAAATCTTAGGATACAAAATGCAGCAGTACCTCTTTTGATGTGTACCTTTCTCCTTTCTCCATCTCCTCTGCTGTACACATGTGCATTTCAACACCAAACACAATCATATGTCATTTCTTTTTGTTATTGCTTTATGAACTTACACAGGAATCGAGGTTGCCGGACAATCTTGGAAAGCTTAGCGCCAGCAGACCCCCTTTTGGCCTTAAAGAGCTTGATGAACTGTGTCGTTAGGCAATCCAATGCTTCAACGAAATCATTGCCCAGTTTGGAGCTGGTGATCTGGTTAAATTCTGCCAGGACCTGCAAAAAAAACAACATAAAACACTTCAAGTTAAATGCATAGATGTAAAAAATGTGTACACACCTGTCTCTCTGTATAAAGTGCTGGCCAGCGCGCTTTGACATTTTCCACAGGTAGGGCAGAATTGACTATTTCTTGTTGTCGGACTGCAACACGCTGTAAGCAAAAAAAGAATAATCAATATATATAAAACAATATCACATGATTTTTGCTCAAATGTGTTTAAAGGAGGTCTAGATTCACTCAATAACATTATTAAGCAATGGACTTAATAAAAAAAAAAAAAAAAATGAACAGAAAGACAACAGTGACAAATGAGATGAAAAAGTACAGTAATAAAAGTGAAAGTCTTAGCGCTCAAACAAAGACAGGAACAGTGCAAAACAAATTATATATGTTAGATATTCCACAGAACTGTAGTCCACAGTCTCCGCGTATATCAGGCTCTGCCATGAGCCCAAACTACTTTTCCTTCGGTTCTTTCGAAGCAGTCTGCTCTGTGCGCCTCGTCCCTGCTCCTGCAGCAGTTCCATGCTTTACAGAAAGTTATCACACACGGAGCAATCACATATATATGTGATATATATATCACATATATGTTTTGGTTGTGTAAAGAGAGTGATGATAACACCAACAACCGTTTGTGTATATACTGGTCAAAGTGCTCGTGGGTCCTCCGGTATGATACTCCGTCTGGTTGGGAGGCCACCAGCAGACTGAAGTCGTCTGCCAATGATTTGTGTCTGAAGGTCAGGAATGTAGTTGTAATCCTTTGCTTCTTTGACAGTGTGTACCCGATACCGTTTCGATTTTTTGCTGTACAGTCTCTTTAGGCTACAAGATAAGTAATTTCACGTTAGAAGACAACTATATTTATGACTTGTCAATAGGAAGTAGTGAATGATACTTACGACACTTGGCCTTTGCTGTTCACATGTGCCGGACGGCTGTTGTGGTGATTGTAGTCCAAAGCTGCGAGAAGTGTTCTTGCTTCATAAACAAAAAATGAAAAAGCAAACCGCTTTCCGGCATACATCAGAATATGGTTTTGGAATGATTCCAGCTGTGAGGTGGTCCTACAGGGAAAGTAAGTAGGAAATAGAAGAAACACAAATCATTCAAAAAAACAAAAACTGATCTCTTACCGAAATGTGAGGAACTTCTCCACATCCTTCAGCCATCTGCGGTTCAGCACGATCTGTGACAGTGCCACATGTGCTTTAGAGCCAGTTGGTACAGGCTCTTTAGTGCCATCATCCCCCAAAGGACCATGAAGGCATCTACCCAGGTCCCACTCATGCACGCCACTAACATGGTGCAGTACACCTCGCCAAATGTCCTAATAAGCAAACATAAGAAACTGAAAAGGTATAGTGAAAATGAGAAGATAAATTCTAGTTCTACTTTACTTACCATGAACTCTTCTCGGCTGCTTGCATGCTGACAGGCATACCAAAAATGGTTAACAATGTCCTTGATCCACCCAAGGATTTGTTTTTGACCTGCTAGGACACCCGCCTATCAAAGTTATTAGTTTTGGTTATGTCTATAAAAAATAATTGAATGAGAAACGATATGAACTATCACTTACAGCATGAAGCCTCTTAGTTAGATTTTTTTCAGCATGCCAGACATCCAGGGAATGGGTAAACTCCATGATCCATATATCTTCCCCACTCTGGATCTATTTTAAAGCTCAAAAATGCAGTAAGCACAAAATATAGCACATCAAATAATACAGACAAAAATACTTACGCATGAGGGCTGCAATTTGCACATGGGCGTCAGTCACAATCTTTGACTTTTAATTCTTTCGTGAGATCATCAAATGTTTTGATGAACGCTGCCTTCTCCATAGAGACACTTTTTCCACCAACTTGCCTTTTATCAACATTGACAACACTGATAATGTCCATAGTGTCAAGTTCCATCGTTGTGTATGTGCAAAACGTTGCAGAATGACCTTGTTGAATCAAATATGGTGAAACACAAAGTAATACACAATAACTATGTTGTGAAGTGAAAGGCTTCAGACTTACCTGGTGAGTCCATTCTCCCGTCAGCTGTAACAGATATAGTACTTATAGTGACTGCAAATACGACAAAGATTGTCCTTTAACACATTACTTACCAAGGGCCACAATGCCCATCTTTTGACTTTAATCGAGTTACAATAGACAACCTCTTCTGCTCCCAAAATGCCTTTATTTCAGGTACGCAGTAGGAGTGTTGAATTTTGTAATAAGTTGTCGTTGAAACCATCTTCATATTCATAAATTTGAAGAGGGCAATCTTAGCAAAATTATTACCACTCAGTAATAAGTTGGCAGATAACATAAAATCGCCTCCTTGCATCCCATGTCGAAGTACAGGTTGACTGTTCCACATCCATAACTTGTGTCCATAAGAGCAGAACTATGGAGAAAGAAACAAATAACTTTTACTAAATGTATAACTACACATTTTGCCTACCCTAAATACCAATCTCTAATTTCAGCATTCACTCACCCATTCCAATATGATTGATGTGCCCCTAGAACGTGATTGAACCGAAAATGGAGGCCGACCATCACACTCAATACCAGAAACCGGATCGCTGTAATGGCATTTGTTGATGGGCAGTTGCAGAAAATTAGCCATTTGCAGCAAGCTAATAGTATACGCTATGCATGCTTGTTGGTGCACTAGGTCAGTTTCAGCAACCACACGAATTGGCTTTGGGAATGTTGATATGTCCTGCTCAGACTGATCCTCAAAGTCCTCTGGTTCTCCGGGATTTTCTGGGTCACAGATGTCCAACACAGCTTCTTCTATGCCGAGGATGGGAAGATTGTCAACTTCTCTTTGAATTGCAACACCAGCACTGAAAACAAGAACAATTTGATGCTTTTTCAAAAAACAATTAGGGAAGGACTTCCATTATTTTCAGGACAGAACATTTAATAAAAAAAACCTCAAAGATATAGGTGGGACATATTCCGAATCTAATGGATCTGAGGCCAAATCTTCATCAAACTCAATCCTGTGAAAGTAAACAGGTCATATTTTAAAACAATCAACAAAATATTTCTTTTTAAACATGTTAAGTAACTTACACACTGTCTTCTAGATTGTTTGCCCGTTTTTCGTTTAACCAAAGATCTGAATGTCTACAAAAAACAATAAATCATATAAATAAACTACCTAGAAATGAGAATACAATGTACATCTTAATGTGAATGCATGTCTACCTTTTCTCCAAAACCTCCAGCTCTTTCTCCTCTATAAAAGGCTGCACCCCTGCCACAGATAAGTCATCCCTGTTAAAAAATACAGTTTGTTTCAGTGAAATTGTCAATAAGGCTTGAATCAAACATAATGCCAATCCCATTTTTCTGGGAAAAAAAAGTACCGGTCAGATTCTACGGGACTGATTGAACTCGGGAGATCACCAGTCGCAGTAGTGGTTTTAGGAGTTGAGGCCTTGGGACTCCTTGATGCCATCATTTTTTCATAGCTATAAAGTAAATAAATAGACGTTACCTATACACACATGCATCTCATTGTATTACAGTTGGACTAACCACATTATATTACTAATATAGTCTGCAATTCTACGATACATATAGTACAGGTACTGAGGTACATAATCACTGCATCTGCAAGTTTCATAATGGTTTACATGCACAGTAGCAGCCCAATAATGTACACAGCTGTACTAAGCTAACAGATGCTAACGTTCATTCAAAAGCACTAATCAACGTAACAGTCATTATTTCTAGACATTCTTCATACAGAACAAAAAAAATGCTGAATGTGTCTCGCCAATCTGTTACTGTTCAGAAAAAAACCGAACCAAATGGAATCAGTCCATGTTGCTAAGTCAAAAAGCTAACACACAAAAATGCTATATCTCTTCGTATTCGAAGACACTAGGACGTTTAGAACTGAGTCACCGTCTTACCTTCTAATCAAGATAAACGCCAAATGAGGATCATTTTTTATCCCCAGAGCGTTTCGGAGACTTCTCCATTTCTCAAACGCATGGCCGAGAGCGACTCGGGTCTGAGCTCTCCGCCGGTCGGCCTCTCGCTTCGTTCTTTTCGTAGCACTAGTGACAATCTTTTTTCTCTTCGCTTGGCGTGGAGTTCCAGACGGTGATTCTGAAGCTGGTCTCTTAGAAGAAACTGCTGGATCCATCTTCAAATACGCGTGATACGGAGACGGGACAGATCCACTGAACGCGAGGGAACATATGGAGCCAAAACAGTGAACGGGCACGCGCATTGCGTCACTTCCGCTTAAACAGCGCGCGAGAAAGCGACCCGAGTCAGGGATTTCTCAATCACTGTATGCGCTCACAGAAGCAACCACAGTGAATCTGCTAATGCTCAGTTTACACACCAGGCAACTGCTGATGGACCACAGATGCAAAATATTGCATTATGGCATTTTTTAACTTACGCAATGCACCTGTCAAAATTATCGTTTTGACTCACGTTAATTACATTTTTTATTAACGCGTTATTTTTTTTAAATACCCGCCCATTTATCCATAAGAATATCACTCAGAATGCTGCGTGTGAGATGGCCTCCTCCGTGGCCGCTCTGGTTGTTGTTAGCGGCTGTGAGTGAGTGCAAGCTTTGCACGGGCTGCAAGCATGGATCTAGCTATTATAATAACAGCAGCAAGCGATTGCTCCGTTCACATACTCAGCGCTCTGCGCACTGTATTTTCCCTGGTTCTTGTCTGTCAGGCGCGCTCTGCGCACTGTATTCTCCCTGGTTCTTGACTGTCAGGCGTGAGTGTTGCTCGTGTGTGTCTTTGGGAACTAATTATTTTAAAATAGTCTCTTTCAATTGCAAGTTTTGTAATCTGTTTGTTTGATCAATGGATAAAAATAAATGCAATTTAATTAAATGGCACCTTGGCCTGTCTTATACCTGTTTGCCTGCAGGACAGTTTCCTAAACTAACATATCATACTAAAATAGGGTGGGGTTGTTGCAACAATTAATCTACTTAGAAGTTATCCTAAATTACAGCCAGCTAAAGCTCGGTACCACGACAAACGAAAAAGTAACGCAATAGTTACTTTTACTGCTAACTAGTTACTTTTATAGTGGAGTAACTCAGTTAGTGAGTCAATTACTTTTTGGTAGAAGTAACTAGTAACTATAACTAATTACTTTTTCAAAGTAACTTACCCAACACTGGTAATTATATTTGATAATCTCATTTAACTTCAATTGGAGTGGATTTGAAATAGAATGTTAAACATGCGATTAATCGTGAGTTAACTCACCATTACTATGCGATTAATCAACTAAAAAAAATGAATCGTTTGACAGCCCTAGTATATATATATATATATATATAATTTGAACCGAGAATAGAACACATCTTTCATGTAATGAATAAAAAAAAAAATCCAAACTTTTGGTCTGTACTGTACATACATGAGATGAACACTTACACTTTCAACATGTCTTTTGTCCTATTAGATTGATTTAATTGATTTTGACATGACAAGCTATAATCAATCATGATCAAATATGTGTGTGTGTGTGTGTGTGTGTGTGTGTTTGAGCATTTACAAAATCCGGGTCTACGGTGTGCTCCCCCTCAACCCTGATTAGCATTTGTATAGCTCACAGCATTGCCATTTACATGTTAAAGCCTCCTGTGGAGGAGGGAGGAGGGGACAACAAACTGCCGAATCCCAGAAGTTTCACAGTAATATACAGGGCCGAAAAGAGACGAAAATCACACTTTTCATGCAGTGTTGTGGAAACTTTAAACAAGACTTTTTATGGATATCTTTGAGAAATAGCTTTCTTCTTGCCACTCTTCCATAAAGGCCAGATTTGTGCAGTGCACGACTGATTGTTGTCCTATGGACAGACTCGCCCACCTCAGCTGTAGTTATCTGCAGTTTATCCAGAGCGATCATGGGCCTCTTGGCTGCATCTCTGATCAGTCTTCTCCTTGTTTGAGATGAAAGTTTGGAGGGACAGTTCAATTAGATTGTCCCTGATCAATCCTCTGTATTGGACAGTGGCACCCATGTGGCATAAACCTCACTCTGATCCCTGTTTGCTGCTCTTGGTCTTTCCTCCTTCGTTGCGACTATTGTATCAGCGCAGTCAATAGTTCTGCACAGCATAAGTCTGGATGATACATTTGATTTGTGGCCTGGTACACGCTGGAGAAGAGGGACCAGGGTGTGATTTATGAGTCAAGAGCCTTGTGGTCAGGACTTATCCGCACACTCCACCTCAGCTCAGTCTGCACGCGAATATGCAGATCTCAGGACACAAGCAATGCATCAACTGAAGATACAGTAGTTGGCCCTTTGTATTAATATGTTAAAAGGCAGTTACAGTACGGCTGAAATACAATCAGTGGACATCAAAGCGTTTCAGGATAGACTTAAATGGAAATGGGTTAAACTTTGTAG